TGTGAGAAAATTCCTGTTTGGTGTTGGATGGCTCATCTGTACACTGAGACCATGAGAGAGTGATATCTGTGGTCTCTCAGGCTGGCTCAGCTTTCATCACCCAGGAGGAAGTTTCAGTATTTTATCGAAACTGCAGAGTGAGAAAGTCTCAAGAGACCAAGACAAGCAAAACTCTAACCTGAGAGTCTCCGGGTGCTTTAGTTCACTTTATGTGCTACAGTCAATAAACTAAAACAACCATAATATTATCCTAACCCAAATAAGAAGTTACTTTTCCTTCCTTATTTTGTCTCTTAAGAAGTTAAGTTTATACAACTATTTTGCTTTAGAAAAATATGTTTTCTGTAATTCTTTTTTAAACCTTTTTAATTACATTTTCAGACAATACTGGCAGATGGCACTGTAAATGAGATTAAAGGTCTACTGACACTTTCTCATGTTCTCTTGTAGTAACTTATTACAGGTGAGGGGAAAACAGAGATTTTAAGAGAATCCAAACATTAAAAAAGGGCTTTAGAGCTTGTACAAGAAAAACTATTTACTGTGAAACCTATATATAAAGAGGTCATATTCTGCTTTATGGCTTTCCCCCTCTCCTTTATTGAGTTATAAACCTTTTTTGTGCATGTAACAGTTTAGCAAAGTGAAAAAGGGAGTTTCATCTCCCACAGAAAACTCTGCTCTGAACTGAAAACAGCTCATTTGTAGTCCAGCCGCTTCCCTTTCATCCCTGTGACATCACAGACGCCAAGCGGCGACTCCGACACGCCCTCAGAAACAGCGAGCTGCAGCACACAGCTCTCTTCTCCCTTCCAAACACTAGCTACCCTCCAGGCAGTCAGTGGACATAAAGTTGTTCCTGTGATGTAGAGACAGAGCTCAGTTAAAACTTTATGGATACAGATTAATAACTCGCCGCTCTGAAACTCTCGCTCCAGTCCGTGTTGCCAAGCCGGTCGGCAACACGTCCGGCTGAACCCGAGCTGTTTACCGGCTTCTCGCTGACCCGCCCTTCTCTGCTTCTGATTGGCTAGTAGTCCTTAACTAGGAACTGAGCATGTGCAACTCCCAACAAAGATCATGTAGAGACAAGATGTATCACTCCATAGCTAAAACGAAGCCTTCAACACAGGCTGAAAAGAGGAGCTGCAGCAATGTGCAGGATGAAAAACATATAACCATGTAAACCTGCTCTGGTACAACCTCTAAATAAGATGAGGAACCTGAAAATGAGCAGAATACCACCTCTTTAATACTTTGCCACAGTTTACAGGTAAGTGTATCCTGTTAGTTCTCAAATGAGGATGTGGACGACCTGGAGTTTAAGGTAGCAGCAGTAGTTTTTTAGGGAGAGTGTGTAACAGTTAGATCAATGAGGCTCCTCAGTAAATGAACGTTTGTTGCTTACAGCTGGAGGATTGTTTTTTCTGACTTCATGAAATACCTGTAGCATTACACAGTGATGTGTGTTCTGTACTGTGAGTCAAAGTAAAATCCAATATTATGATATTGATATACTGTATGTGTAGTACTTTTCCTGGAAGTTAGTGTGACTGAGTGTTTATGAATTAAATAGCCGGAATGACTGTTGTGGAAAGTAGAACTAACAATGTACATTTACTCAAGTACAATACATTTTGAGGTACTTGTGAGCCGACTTAAGTGTTTCAATTTATGCAACTTTATAATCTTACTCCACTACATATCAGAGAGAAATATAAAATGATAAACTTGATAGCATCATGTGTACTTTAACTTTGATGTTTCAGGTACATTTTGTTGATGGTACTTTTACTTTTAAGAATCTGAGTACTAGTTCCACCACAGCAAATCAAAGTACTTGATCACATTGATAAATAATATTAAATCCAATATTGCTATTTATCAGAAACGCCCATTGATTTGCAGCTTTGGCAACAAGGTCCAGAACAAGCAAATATATTAAAAGTACAAAATAGCTTTGTATAAATCTCTGGCAGTCAACACATTTACGTTGACTCAGGATATATGATCTCATATTGCTCATTAAGAGCCATAGTTTATGTTTTCTTATTTGTTTGCATTTGCCTTTATTGATTATATTTGATCTTTAAAGTCATGCTAACTTCAGTGCAGTTTACTGATGTGTGCGTGTTGCTTTGCAGGTCACTGGTGGTGCTGAACGTGAGAGATGGAGCTGAAGGTGTGGGTGGATGGTGTGGTCAGAGTGGTGTGTGGCCTGACGCTGGACACTTCCTGCCAGGATGTTGTCATAGCTCTTGCACAAGCAATAGGTAAGTCGCTGAATTTTCCTTCAACACTCATTCACATATAAAAACTGTTTTAGTACTAAAGTTTTTGGTTGCAAGAGTCCATTTTGGAGCCTACGTTAGCTTTCCTGTAACACCAGCCCCAGCTCACACCGTCAACTATGAACATGAAATATCTAAATGACAAGCACACTGACAATGGTGAAAACCATGATTTTAACAACCCTACAGTCTTTCTCTAGTGCAAACCTAGGAAAACTTCAGCATGTCTTTCAGTTGACGTCTTTTCCAAGTGACTTACAATAAGGGCCTTCAACCATGTGAATCCAATCCAAAAATTACAAGAATCATGCAAGTACATCAAAATCAACCATCCTGAACTACTTCAAGTGCTACATTTAGGAACAAAAAGAGACAGAGACAGACACTGAATTTGTCCAGTCACGCTTCTACCACCTTAGAAATATTGCTAAGATAAGATCTAACATCAGATCTAACTTAAAGGCCAGAGATACAGAAAAACGTTGTACATGCCTTTATTAAAAAAACTCCGTTTACAGATTGTGCAGAACTCAGCTGCGAGGTTATTAGTCCCGGGAAAGATGCCCACATCACAGCGATTTTAGTTTCTTTACGTTGGCTCCCCGTTTGTTAAAGGACTCATTTAAGATCTTGGTTACTTTTAAGGCTCCTTATGGCCTCACTCCAAAATATATTCAAGATATTTTAACTCCCTTTGATCCTGGGTGCAGTCTGAGATCCAGCAGCAGGGGTCTTCTGTCCCTCCCGAAGTCCAGGTTGACAACACAAAGAGGTGGAGCCTTTGCAATCAGGGCCCCTGATGCTCTAGACCTGGAAGTCGGGCTGTGAGAGTCAGTGTTTTATTTTAATCCCACCTTAAAGCTTAATGTTTCCAGAAAGTGTTTTCTGAGTTTATATAAGCTGCCAGCCCTTTTTTGTCTAAATGTCTGTGTAGTTTCTGTTAAATTTCAGTTTCTTATTGACTGCTGTGCACTTTGTACTTTGTCTGATAAGTGCGCTACAAATAAGGGTTTCATTTTATTATTATCTGAATTGTGAACAGTGCAAACTGGTAGAGACCAGAAGACACACCAGTACACAAACTGAAAGTGTTCGGGCAGCACGTTTTAACACGATACCACCATATAGTGAGCTGTTAAATATTAATCACGTGTCTGTCTTTTGCACAGGGCAGACTGGTCGGTACATTCTTATCTTGAAGTTACGAGGGGGTGAGAGACAGCTAGTTGCTGATGACTGTCCTCTTCAGCGTCTGGCTCAGCTGGGACAGCTGGCTACAGAGGTCCAGTTCATTCTGCGGCGAACCGGTCCCAGCCTCAGTGATGCTTCAGACACACCCACCACAGAGAGACCAGAAGCAGAGCCACTCAAACGCAAAGAGTCACACAAGACCGTCACCTTTAGTCAGCGTTCCTCAAAACACTCCAAGAGGACTAAACCAAACAGGACCTCATCTCCTCGAGCCTCCCCAGAACCGCGAGCTTCCCCGGTGTCTTTCCTAGACCCTGTCAACCCTGTGAATGCCATTCCCTCCAAAGAGGAGGTGTTTAGGCAGATTCTGCAGCAACAGATGAGACTAGAAGACCTGGAGATTCAGCTTCAAGCCCTGGAGAGAGAAACAGGGCTGTGGGAGCAGGAGAGCTCGTCTGCTATAGTCCCTGTTCTCTGGTCCCTGCAGGGGGAACTGGAGGAACTGGAGCAGCAACAGAGGCAGAACGAGGCTGAACTGATGCAACAAGAGCGCTGGGAGGAAGAATTACAGGCAGAGGTGGACAGAGAACAAGGCACGTATTCAAAGCTGTCACATTTTCTGCATTTAGCGAGCAACTTTTTCCTCTCACACTTCTAAAACTGTGTTGTTAACCCTGTTATCAACAGATCTGCACAGACGTCTCAACCAGATCCACTCATCAATGGATGATCACAGTTATCAGATGAAGGAGCTCCAAGCCTATTCTGCACATCTAGAAGAGGACCTACAGCTTAGAGCACACAGACAAAGCTCTCGACAGCCAGAGGAGCCCCTGAAGCAGGAGCTCCACCACTGCCTGCAGCAGGCAGAGGAACTGGATGCAACATTGTTAGAGACACAGCGGAAGCTACAAGCTGCAGAGGAAAGTCTACAGGTATAACTCCTCACTCTAACCTTAACTTTCAGTGTCACCTTAATGAAAAGTCCGACGATATTGTAAACTAATGCCACGAAAAGACCAAGACCAGTTTGTTTTGTCCATCTCTCAGTGCTCGCCGACTTCCCCAAGCCTGTCCATGGCACTTAGCCCCAAATCCACTGAGGATGTAAATATTTACATCAAATACATACTTTTAAAAGGTTATTTCCTAAAACAGCTGGCCACTGCTGGTTTGAGCAAAGGTTACGCAAACAGGAGGAAAGGGGGACTATTTTCAGCAGCGGATTAATACACATTTGGTGCTCTAGTGAGTATTTGGGGCAGCAGGACAGTGGATGTGAGTCAAAATGAACTGCTGTGTGTGTGCTGCTGTTTCCACAAAGGTGTCAGTTTCCAGTACTGAGCACATACATAGAGCATCGAGGGTTAATATGTTCGCAGTCCCACCAAATGTATTCAACCTAACATTGGTGCTGTTGGTAATATAATATTCCCTGCATGCTCTAGGACAGATGGGAGATGACTGAGGAGCTGAAGAAGGAGCTGAGGCAGTGTAATCTGCAGCAGTTTATCCAGCAGACCAGCAGTCCACATGCAGACCAGACCAACGTCCTGCCCGTCACCGATGCTTACCTCAGCAGCGCTGGTATAATGGAGTAGGACCGGCTAAGACGTACGTCATCAGACTGTTTCAAAGGATCATTACCGGCTGTACAACAAGTTTATCACTGCGTTAAGCACTGTGTTTAAAATAGTTTCAAGTAAGAGTCCGGCTTTCCTGTTTTTAGTAAGTGTACAGTGTTGTCAGTGAAGAAGAGTCTAGTTCTGTTCCACTGGTGAAAACCTGTACCGCCAGTTTTGGGGATTTTAAATGCCAGAAAGAAAGAAAAGTGATATAAGATGTGGCAAATGAAAAGTGTCAAGTCCATCTTTGACGAATAAAAGCTCAAATAACAGAAACAATCATTAATATTTAAACCTACACAGACGTCTGACTCTGGCATTTTCTCTCTGTCTGCTGCAGGACATCTGGAAGTAAAACATGTTCTCTGAATCCTCTCTGGCCCGTCCTACTGTGTGTGTGTGTGTGTGTGTGTGTCTGATTAGCCAATCACTGCCAGGTTTCAAAGGAAAGCTTTGAAATAAATGAATGTTGATGCTACTGATAAAAATGAATGGATGTATTTTTGCTTGTTGTTTATGTTTGCTCTAGGCCTATCTTGCCATGTAAAGGTTTTATTATAATTAATTACTCATATATATTTTTTAAATGCTATAATAAAGTTATTTGTTGTTTTTTTTAAAAATGGATATATGTCCTGTTTCAATTCCAGCTCACATGAAGCAGTTAACCTTTGGTCCATCAGAGGGCGACGAAGCTTAATCTGTTTTCACTGCACGCATCACTCCAAGCTTTAGCAGCAGCAACAGCCCCAGTGAATGATTAGACACACACGTTTTCATGAAAGATACACATGAATAAACGCAGTTTGGTTCATGGGATCCCCAAAACACATGAGTCCAAACTCCAGACACAAGAACAGCTTAACCTCCATCGGACTGCAGGCAACCCTATCTACTGCAGAAGAAGACCGGGCTCAGCCTCCACAGTCGACATGTCTTTAATGTCTTGTTTTGTCAGACCAACAGTCCAAAGAACAATAATTAAAAGAAAGATGTAATTTACCATCACCAAGGCAAACACATCCTTACAATGGCGTGCCTTTTTAAATCGAATGGTTAGTGGCTGACAGTTATCAGTCAGCTAATCGATTAGTTTCAGCTCTGATTATTAAAGCCCAAGGTGACATCTTTAACTTGCAGTCCAAAACACAAAGATGTTCAGTTTATATCGCAACAATCAAGACAAAGAAAAGCATGAAATCCTCACAAATGAGAGAGTGGAGAGTTTTCTTGAAAGCGGACTCAAATGACGAATCACATCAGAATAGTTTTTTAATTTCTTGGAGACAGAGTTGAGCGTTTAGTGACGCAGCATGAACTCAGCCTTGGACTCAAGAAGCCCCCTCTGTGCTTATGTAGCATCAACTTGTTTGCACTCCTGCCAGATCCAGTTACAGTAAGAATGCGTGTGGATTGAAGATTACATCTGCTGGTCATGTAGTTATCCTCCGCCGACCCTGCAGGGTCTGTCTGTCAGAGTTTCGGCTCCCCTCTCTGATGAGCCTACAGAAAATTGTCTCTCTTTCCTCACTTTTCTCAGAAGTCTGAACAATCAGCAGGCAGATGTTGTAGAAGGAAAAATATCCAGACAATGTTCAGGCTGCAGTATAAGAAAGGACTCTGTGTCTTTAGTCTCTGTGGATGCTGCAGAGCTGTAATCTACAGTGTGATGCTCTTACTGTTAATAATCTAATCTGATGTAATATTATTGGATTTAATCCGATGAAAATGGATCTAATCTGTGCTACAGTATAATACATTCAGAACATACAGGTCAGCTGGTAACAGTTTCATAACGTTGCTTTGTCAAAAACGCCTCATTCTCAAACACAAAGAAGAAACATTTAAAATCTCAGTGAGATTTAAAAAATCAATTCAATTCTGAGAACTTTATTCATCCTGTAGGACCTTCATTTGTTCAGAGCATCAGTGTGTTCACATTATCAGAAACTCAGCACAATATACCACACACACGTCACATACCAGCAATCAGCTGTGATGACTTAGTACACGATAAACTGGTGACAAAGATTTAAAAAAGATTGTGTTTAAAATAGATTCAATTAAATAACTAAAATGAGGGCGGAACAGTGGTCCAGTGGTTTAGCGCTGTCACCTCACAGCAAGAGGGTCGTGGGTTCGAACCTTGGTCGTGCCAGGCCTTTATATGTGGAGTTTGCACATGACATGACCCTGTACACAGGATAAGCGGTTGACGATGGATGAATAAAATAAACCAGCGACTCACAGACATATAGATAAATGAGTGAATCAGCCGTTCACGATGAGCAACTGGCTGGTCAACATCTCGTTATTTACCACTTTGATGTGCACAGTTTCTCCTTGTTGTTTTCAACGGCTACATTAACACAACTTCATCGATAATTAGCTCGTTATGACTCACAGCTCGTATTCTATATCTGGTAAACACCCTCAGACCCGGGGCAAAGAGGGGCTTGACATCTACAGTACATGTTGCATCACATGTATGAGCTGTTCTCAGCGTCAGATTATCCCTGAAAATACTCATCTCAACTCCATTAACAGCTTTGTGTATGAGCAGAGCAGCTATATAAACACCGTGACAGCGAGGGAGAACACAGGACAGAGAGACTGCAAAAAGAAAGAGAACCTTCTCTTTGTTTTGTGGTTCTTCCTTTGCTCAGCCCTTTCAGGCAGCGTCTCTTCGCCGAACCAAACTCCCACCAAACTACAACGCAGGTGAGACCATCAGGTGGCACCACACAGCAGCGCAGACTGATGTCTGCAGTTAGTTTTAATGAAGGTCGTGCAGCTTCTAAGAAACCGTTTTATGTATTTCCTGTGTAGCAGCTGCTGGATGTAGGTATTAAGAAGGCATTAGTGCCACATGTTGCTGTAGAAATTACACATGATGACAACTTTTCTGAGCTTCGAGTTATAAAGTGATTTTTCTGTGTGGGTCAGTCAAATTTTATGAGATAAAAACGTAATTAATTAAATGAACAAATGAATCTGAATTATTACTTTTTTTTGCATGTTTTCATTTTCAGTGCACAAACTTGTTGTTTTTATCAAGTTTCTGTTCAAAGCTCATATTAAAAAAAGTGCATTGTTCAGTTTCATCTGTGGGAAAAAAGTTCAGAACTCTTTATTGTCCAATGATTCATTTTGATCTTCATTGCTGTTTGATATTTTGAGGTTGTTGTTTGACGATGGTGCTTTATCATATCTTTATTTGCTCACCTCCCAGAGTTAGATGTATCACAGAGGGAGCTGGAGCAAGATGATGATTAGCTTACTAACAGGAGAACAGACCATTACTGTACGTCTACCAACATCTCTGAAGCTCACATGCTACAAATGTAAAAATGACCATCTGGTGTTTCCTGATAAACAACTCTTTCTTTTTTGTTCGCTTTCTGTTTGTTCACTTGAACACATGAATCTTTGTTGTTTTCATAGAAATGAACACAGAGAAAGCAGCAGCAGCACCCGGAGGCGGCAAGTCTTCTCCTCCCAAGTCCACGCAGAAGGAGAGCAGGCAGTTCAAGAGCAAGGCTCCCAAAGCTGGACAGAAGGGGTGAGTCTAGAAAAGAAAGCTCAACACCCCTGCAAAGGTAGAATTACAGCTGTTAGGTAATGGAGATCTCAGCATCACTCTCTGTCCTTCTCTTAGATTTGATGATGGTCTGGGGATGGAGGGCGTTGGAGGTAACTATCAATCAAATCAATAACTGATAAGAAACACATTATTCTAAAGTGGTCGATGAAGGCGAGCTCCATTAACCTGTGCTTCCTCTGCCGTAGAGGTCATCTGCCCCTGGGAGGTGTTTGGTGACATGGAGCTGAATGATCTGGCGCAGTTTGGCATCGTTTAGGCCTTGTGCCAAATGGAAACGGTTTATTCCTGGTGGCTGCGATCCACCTTTCTTTTCTGCCTCCCCCTCCATGAGTGGAGGAAGAAGCTTTTGGACAGCAGCCCCCAAGGATGACACCTCTTCGGTCGTGGGCCGGTGCACCTCATCACCTGGAAGCTTTACCATCTCTCCGAGCTCTATATTATCTTTCATTACATCTGAATGAGACCTCAGGAAGTCTCTGCCTTGTAGCCCTGAGTAGCCCGGCACCTGTGTAAAAGTGTAACACACTGTACCGCTGCTTGGGCGTATTTAAAGGGACGATCAGTGAACAACTGGGAATCCATAAATATTTTAGTGAAAGTGTGTAGATCAATCTATTTATCTATATTTAATCTATCTATCTATCTCTGGTGTATTTGTTATAATAAAGTGCATTTTAATCACATTATCTGGTCTACCTGAGCATGTTTCTCTCTTGTTATGAATATATAATATATAAATTCACAACCATCACATGCACTCTCACGCTCCGTATTACTGCAGGTTGCTGTGTTGTCATCATGCTGATGTTGGTGATGATGTATCATTTAACATAAGTTTCACATCTTAAGTTTTCAATTTAAAAACGTAAAATAATTCAACTTAATTTCCTTTTATATTATGTAAACATTAACTTGAAAAAAGCTGACAAGAGTTACTGTATGTAGAGTTTTGCAGATGTGACTCACTACTGTGGTCCTGCAGTGACATCTGCGTTTTGGGCCAGGGGCAGAGGCAAAGTACTAAGAGAGAGAGAGAGAGAGAGAGAGGTGTGCTCTTGTTCCTGAACCTCAGATACTGGAAACCCTACTACCACTAACTCTGTGTTTTGGAGTAATTTCTGCTGGAAGACTCTGATCCTCCTTCAGAAAATTTATTAACCCCTACTTTTTAAAGAAAACAATTACAAAATGTTGGCTCCAGAGGAATCCTCATCAGTAGCAGTAGTTCGCTCAGTGGAGAACATGACTCTTGGAGGAAAACGGGACTCGCACGTCCATCCAGACTATCATTTTCCACGCACCATGAACTGTACTTTACTTTCTTTCTTTTGTTTGCTCAAGATGAGCAGGTGTGGGGATGTTCAGCTGCTAAATCTGTTAAATATTGTGTTTAAAACCCACTACCTTATCTGCGGTGGATCGATGCGATCTTGTTCGGTGGCAGATTTTGATCCTCGGGTGCCCTCACACTAATCCCTGACTCTAGGTGTTCTGAGCCAGCTGACCTCTGCTTTCGGACACAGATAGGATTAGAGATCATTTACGACAAGTAAGACGACACAAAGAGCACTTCAGGTTACAGAATTACACACAAGTGTGAGGACAGCAGCTCATTATCTCCTCCAGCATGTTAAGTAAGAAAAACATTTTTCTTTCTTTGTGATCAAAACGCAGCAGCAGGTGAAGACAGCCAGGCCATTAAAGGGCAAGGCTCCCAAAACTGGACAGGGAGGGTGAGCCACTCCTTCATCATGTCCCAGGGCTGGAGGGTCTTGGAGGTGACACTGAATTTTATGTCTGGAACTGTTTCATGTTCTGCGTCAAACACTAGTTTTCACATTGTTGTAGTTAGTATTTGGTTTACATTTTGCATGTTCATTATTGCTACATTTGTGGAGGTCAAAAGGGGCCAAGGAGCCTCCCAGCAGGTCACTGTGACCATGCTCTGGACTGGAGGTTTGTCAGAGTTTGCTAAACTAATAAAAGAGCCTGCAGCTTTACAAACTGTTTAATCACTTCACATGTATATAATCACACCCACGAGTTTCCACCAATTTTCAAAATGTGGATTACATCAAACCGTGAACCTGATCAGTCTTAATCCAAGGCCTTAAAAAGCCTTAGTGATGTGAGCTGGCTCCTTAAAGTGAAGGATGGGAGTCGACTCCCGTCTGAGAGCCTCTTTGCTCTTTAATCAGCATGTTGATATTTCACACCTCTCAGATGGGTGGCATCGAATTAAATATTGTGTACGCAGAAAAAATGTTACGATAAACTGTAATTGTTTTCTTTAACTTGTGAAAATGTAAGTAAAACAAAAGTTTGCTCAGTTATTGCTGTTTACAGAAATATTGACCATTAATTGTCTGTTAATTGTGTTAATGAGCTCGTTGTTAAATTACATCCAGATTAAGGTGTAAAAAAATATAATATAAATACTGTAAACCTCCTAAAATAGAAAAGCTTTTGTTTCTTTTGACAGATAAAAAATAACTCTCATGCACCCTCCCACTCCCACACACTGGACCAATCCCTGCCTCGGACATGCACGGAAACCGCCATCTCATTATAATGTAAACAGTTGGAAAATTGGAAATGTCACCTTGGGAAAAGAGAGAATGGATAAAAGTTAAATAAAGAGGGAAATTACACAAGTCAGACAGCTAAAATCGAAGAGAGCTATAGGCAGATTTTCAGACCTACTTGGCTAAAGATCAAGTGATTACCAAGTTAATAAGACTGACTTATTAGAGGCTGGCCCTCCCTGCGCCCGCTCAGAGAGGCTGGGCGGGTGTTAGCAGATGCCTCGGTGACCTGCAGACTGGAAGGAACATCAGGAACTCTTTCATCAATATAATCAACAGACCATGGGACAAGAGGAAAGCCACACTGAGGAGATTGAATTAGAACAGATTCAGGACCTGTGCATGATTTTCATGAAGGAGTGTCCGAGCGGTTCCCTGCACTTACATGAGTTCAAGAGGATCTTCGGGATCCCGAGCAGCTCTGCAGAGGAGTCGCTCTACATCGAGACAATATTCCGCTCCTTTGACACAAATCAGGTAAAAACCGCAGCAGTTTCTCGTTGTAGGATTAGATATTTATTTCTGTTGTGACTGGAACGCTGCATTGTTTTCTTCAGGATAACGCACTTGATTTCCTCGAGTATGTAGCGGCGCTCCACTTGATCTTACGAGGAAATCTTGAAGACAGGCTCAAGTGGTCCTTTAAGATGTACGACAAGGATGGGAATGGCAAGTTGGACAGGCAGGAGGTGAAACGCATTATCAGGGTAAGAGAGACCTTTTCAGATTATTGTGAGAATTACTTTTCTGTAAATTGTTTTTGCAGTTCCTACAGTGTGTTCTGAGTGAAAGGATTGTTTAGAACCAGCTGATGTGTCAAAATGACCAGGTTTCATAACATAAATCCTCTCAAGACAGATTATATGACTGGCCAGGTGACAAGCTTAAGGCCGAGTGTCACCTGCTGTAGGTTTACAGGGCATTAGGTAAAGAGTGGATGGTCTCAGTGAGGGCTATTCCTGAAGTGAACATCTTTGGTGCACTTTACAGTAAGCCTCTAAATTTAGAGATTTAAAGTTAGCCCTCTGTTCACATGATTTAATTTGCTTGAATGGAATTGGGAATTGAATATTTGTTACAGTAATCCAAAAATGGTTGAATCCTTATTATGTTATACAACTATAATATTAACATTCTAAATTTGTGGACATATCTGGGCTCCTCCAGAGAGAAGTGTAGGAGTGTTTTCTCCATGGTAATTATAGCAATTATACTTTCAGACCAAATATGCCTCAGCAGGTAGTGACACACTGGATGGTTGGATGGTGTGCAGAAGCAAAAGTTTTGGCCGGTAAAGAAGGAAGTGAGAGTTTAAATCACTTGATCACAGACGCTTTTCATGTGTCTCACGCAGATCTTGTACAAAATCAAGTTCCAGACGAGTGATGTTGGTATGACGCCGTCTGAAATCTGCGACAGAATCTTTGAGCTGGTTGATCAGAATGATGACGGTAAGTTCATATGCAAAGTATGATAGACAACAAGAAATGGGAAAGAGGAAGTGCTTTAGCATGTTGTGATCGTGTGTTGAGGATTACACTTAGTGTCCTGAATTTTAACATTTACCTTGTGTACACTTCCAAAAACAAAATACTAGCTACAATCTGCTTAACAAAATCCATTCTATGATGGAAAAGTAGTAGAGAGAAGGAAAGTCTTACTTAATCACTTCTCAAAATAAGTTATATACATATATCAACAAGTACTTTTAACAACCACTAATTTAATTAAATAGTTGAACAATATTAAAGTTGTCCAACACAAACAACCTAAACACACAACCACTTAAATATGAAGCATGTCGATAAATGTTCATTGTGTAGATTTCACTTTAGTTCTCATCAAAATGTTTTACCGTTGTTATTCTTTGATTTTCTGTTAAATATGAAGTCATCATTGTGGATTGTGTTTCGGTGCCCCACAGGTCAGATAACCTTGTCTGAATTCATGGAGGGAGCCCAGAAGGATGAATGGGTCATGAACCTGCTGAAGCTGGACGTCAACGCCACCGGCTGGGTCATCCAGAACTGCGGGAAACTACCATGACCTCTCACCTTAGTGGGTTCGGCGCCCACAGGTTTTTGTTGAGGCTGACACAGAGGTGCTGTCTTCAAAGCTCGGCCGGCGTCTCCATGCTGAGCTTCCTGCGACGTGGAGCTGGAGCTCAGTGACCTTTTTCACGACTGCAGTTCTGCCGTGATTTTGCCTGCTGGGTCCAAAGGTCCATGCTGCACGCCTGTGGTGGTGATTTGGTCTTGAGTTATCTGTTAGGGTCCGTGTATCTACATTTATTATTATTGCGTTAATTTTAGTTTGAGACTGATGGCCATTGTGGATTTTGAAAAAAACTAAAAAACAAAGCAAAGTAAACAAAAATCTAATAATATATACAGTAATAATATATATTTTTTATTTTTTAAGTTTTGCAGTCATAGTACAGTTACAAATATATTGGTAGCATACTCTCTCTGCAGAGGTTTGGTAAAAAATAAAATGACGTTATATTTTGCTACTATATCAAGCTGGTGAGGTGAAAAGTTCTGTTAACAGAGCTGTGGTGGTTCATACACAACGGGCTGATCCACAGTCCTGTCAGTGGTTTCACATTGTTTCACTGATCTACAGGTTGAGGTAACAGGGCAAGATATGCAGCAATGCACCAGCAAAGGCTGGGAAGAAGAAGACCGCTAGTTTGATGCTGAAGGAATGTAAATAAATGTAAATGCTCCGTACTTGTATAGCGCCTTTCTAGTCTTTTCGACCACTCAAAGCGCTTTTACACTACATCTGCATTCACCAGTCATACACATTCATACACTGAGCCTAAGGGTTCAGTATCTTACACATGGACACTTCGACACGCAACCGGGGGGAGCCAAGGATTGAACCACCAACCTTCTAATTAACGGCCAACCCGCTCTACCTCCTGAGCCACAGCCGCCCCTAGGAAGGAAATGCCTTCAACATGTTTCTTTGACCTGAAGGATACACACAAAGTGCTTGCTGACACTGTAACACATTGAATGTAAACATAATGTTTATTCACAAGAAAACACCACAGGGTCCCTTTAACTGGGACAACACAATTAGACATTGTTACGTAAGACTTAAAGTAATGCAACAGATGTAATATCTATAGGGCATGTAGTTTGCAGCCTGTTATAAAGAAGATATAATGATTACCTTTTCACAGCAGACATGGAGGAAAGATTTGTGTACCTAGTCACCAAATAACTAGTCAAATAGAAAAGTTTAATACTGACTTCTTTTAACTCTAGTTTTGACTCCGCAAACTCTAACCAGCCCAGCAACACATATCCAACAATAGTTGTTGCTGGGCTGGTTACAGTTTGTTTATTAGGTTTATTTTTTTGCTAAAAACATCTGCTTGCTGCTGGAAACAGGTCTGATGAATGCGTTGGGACTAACCCAAAACATTTGGTGTTGTTTGCTGAAAAAACAAAACTAGGAGCTGACAGTTACTGCAGAGTGAAGTGATGGACTCTTCACCCATAAAGGTTCAGTGTGTAAGTTTTAGTGACATCTAGTGGCGAGGATTGCAAAGTGCAACCAGTGGCCTACGGTGCTTTCATGTGCTCCTCAGATGGTCCCATTTCCCGAGTTGTGAAGTCGTTCTTCCGACTTCAGAGTGTGTTTTAGAGTGCTCTTAAGTCTGATTGTGGAATCAACATGGATGCTACTACCAAGATGTGTTAGATTAACATTTTCCGAGCGTATAAACAACACGCAGTCATCTATTTCACTCTACTACTTCACCTCATGAAGGCACCGTCGGCTGTTGTGCAAAATAATACATGTGGCCCGCCATTTGTCTAAATTTCACTTATTTTCTTACTTCTAATAAACTAGTCGACCTCTATTACAACTAGTAACGTTACTTGTTCTTCTTCTTTCTGCCTTTGTACATCCTAACATGGTGACGTCCATGTAAGATGACCCTGTAGATAGAAATGACTCATTCTAAGGTTCATTATGTGAGGTCTTTATACACCACTGAAAATATAGTATAAATATAGAAAATATATTGCATTTCTGTCAATAGATCCTCCTAAATATTACACACTGGACCCTTAAGTGAGCTTATGTCACCAAAGACTATTTGATTAGTAAACCGTGAAACTTCAGCAACAACACTGAACTAACAAACGACATGTTCAAGAAATATTTAGATTACTGTACATCAGCCCAGATATTCCTGCAATTTTGTGTTTTCTTCTTGGCTATATTACCAAGGACCCTAAAACAACAAGGCAGAATATTACAGTTTTATTTATTTATGCTTTTGTCAGAAGAAAATGTTTCAGGTGAAAGTTAAAAGTAGTGCTATATCTGTTTCACATGTGCATTAATTTTGTTATTAAACTGAATTATTTCTTGAAAAACTTTTAGACCCAGTGTCTTTCCTGATTCTGCCACTTGGTGTCACAAAAGTCAGAAATGTGCAAATCCTACAAATCCAACAGGGGCTTTACATGTGAGACCACTCTCCACCCGTTGAATTCAAAGTCCAAAAAATAGGGGGTAGCACATCTCATATCAGGCCAGAACTGCGGCCGACCGCCGTTAGCTAGATAGCTCAGTTAGCCATGCAGCGCAATTAGCAGTCTTATTGGCTGACTGGCCTTCCGGTGATCACGGCTGCACCGTAACTGAACACAGACCGACGGAGGCCAGTTTGACAGCAGGGAATATAGTACGAGGTAGTTTAAGGCAGCTCCGACCAGGACTCTGACTCCGGAGTCAGGTGGGTTCAGGCGGGACAGGAAAGGAGTGAGAGGAGTGTAGAACCAGAATATTTCTAGCTCTGTCAACTCTGTTTTTTTCCCACCCAATCAGAGCTGGTGAGTGTTGGAACCGTGGAAAGAATAACCTTGAGAGTTCTGGTGAGTTTTATTTTGTTTCTGTGGAGTTTGAATGAAGTCTGTTTTAAGATGAGTTAACAAGGAACTTAGTTCGGTGAAAGAGAGAAACGTCTGTGGCTGTATTTCCCTGTTTGATAAGGAAAACAGGGGAAGAATTTCCTTTCTTGAGAAAAATGTTTTGAGGTCATTGTATAATAGTTGAAACTGCACCTACTAAAGGCAAAGATAAAACTATTTCACAACTTTGTCCCAGTGTTTCTTTTGCAGTACAGACAGATGGATGAGTGCACTTTGGTTTGATTGAAGCAACGAAACTACTTGGTTAGCTTTAGGAAAACATTGTGGTTTGGCTATTTCACTTCAAACTCCAAATAACTCACATTTAAACATTTACTTGGTTTGATGGCTTGAATGCTGCTCTCCTGTGTAAAAGTCTTTGGTTTAAACTATCCATCAACCCAACTTCCTCCTTTGCTACCGTTGTACAGCCACTAGAGGTCGGAGCTACAATAAATGTAAATACGGGTCGTAATAACGTGCTTGAACAAACGCCCTTCATGGTCGTTTAACTGGTGAGGACGGGCTGCAGGGACTTGTTGACTTTGGAGGTGATGAGCCCACCAGTGACTGTGCCATGTGCTGCCGCTGTGGGCCGCGAGCTGGATGCAGACTTGCTCCTGTCAAAGGCGCCCAGGCAATGTGGGAATTACCATTTCTCCATTAACTCCATGGCAATTACTCACAGTTCCTCCTCTGATTTTGGTGCCTGTAAATATGAGAGCATGCAATTTAAAAAACATGTACATTGACCAATTACACTTCTCAAGATGTCCCCCCCAACACTCCTCCATGCCCCTGACTGACCAGCATTAAATCACTTCTCCTGATAAAGAATCATCCCACCACATCTTCACTTTCTGCATTGTGTGTCATGATGTCTATGTTTGTGAGGGAATTCTAACCATAAGAAACTCATCTTTCAAGACCCGATGCAGGACCTTGCATGTGTCTTTCACCATATCAGGTACAGTAGTGACCCCTGTGCTGGGTTACGGTGTAGTAAGACAGGCTTAACAACTACAGCCTATTAAAGGCTCTATTTAGTCATACTCCAGTGATTTTGAAGTATCCTACTTGCCTTGACATCTACACAGTATACAGATATTGAGGAAAGTGAAACCTGTAAACAACACCATCCATTTCCACATACACACAAAAAAATAATAGTAATTAATTTAGATTAGTTTTATTTTTTCTCAGATCACACTGTGTGTAGTTGAGCTGGATCACATCATTTAACTAAAACAACAAGTTCTTTTAACACGTACTCTGTCTGACTATAATAATTAAGATTCTGGAGCACAGAAATCCTCAATTGCGCTGTTAAAAGACCGGGACCGCACGTCCCTGATCTGTTTTTCCGTTATACTCTGCCTGATAATTGTATCTTTTTTCTAAGGTCACAAATCAAACTTTTCTCAGATGTTTGAATATTCTTAATGTTTTCTGATAAAATTCAGATACACAAGGAAAACACGCAAAATCCAGATCTGTTACACAAACTCTACAGTTGCGTTCTTATTTACTGTATGTGATCAAATCTGGTTCAGATTGGGGCTTTTGTGTGTTTTAATATTTATTCTACATTCAGCAGTCATCTCATGGTTGGTTAACTGTGCTCAGACAAAGCTCAGTGGATCAATAGTTTCACCAAGACCACACTAAGGCTTTGACGTCATTTAATCTCTCTGAGAGCTCTGGCCTTTTGTTTACGGGGGCAGTCCACTCTTTGCTGTCAAACGGCCAAACGAACCGCTACTCACGAGCAAATTCATTAGTAGTTGTGAGAGATGCACTATTTTCTCCAAAGCAACGTGGAGGGGGCTTTGTCAGATTTGAGGAAAAACAAATATTGAAGAAGAAAGAGAATTGTCGAGACGGATCTTGGAGGACCACTGAGAAGTAAATTGGATTTGTCGAGCATGTTGCCTTGAAATAGCCCACACAGTATTCTGCTGGGTCCATGGCTCGTGCGCTGCTCTGAATGTGCTTGACAACTTCTCTGTAGGTTTTTAAAATATTATTTTAGCATCTTCATTTTTTGCTTCTTTGTATTTAAAATGATGGGTCAAGCACAGAGTGGTGCAGATAAGGAAGTGACTCTTCAAAACATCCAGGAATTATACCGTAAATTTGCAAGTGAATGTCCAAGTGGAAATCTGCACTTGCATGAATTCAAGAAGATCTTTGGAATCAACAGAAACTCTACGGAAGAAGAAGCTGCATATGTGGAAATTGTTTTTCAGTCATTTGACACAAATAAGGTAATGTATCTTTGCATATATGAATCTAGAAATAAGTAAAACAAGCTGCACTATTTGTCACTATTTGCCTCGTTATTGCTTTAAATCAGTCCTTGTTGGAAGGCAGTGTGACTGACCGATCCTTCCATCTTAGGACGGTAAAATAGACTTCTTGGAATATGTGGCGGCGCTGCATCTTGTTCT